TGAGATTTTAGTATAGCTTAATTGTGTAGGGTGGTGTGGAGGACTGCAGCCATACAGCACTGCTTTCAAGGAGGCTGAATTAAGGTATTAATCCTAGGTACAGTTGATTATTGCTTTGACACTCTCTGCTCTGCGATAAAGATTGTTAATTGTTTTAAATGATAAGGGTACTTAACTGCTTATTGCAGTTTGTTTTGGGATGTGCAGGCAGTTGGGCTGATACAAGAATGGACTGCTAATTTCTCATTGCATGTCGCTAAAATGTGCATTGCTTATGCCTTATATTAAGATCACATTACTCAGTGTCTTTTTGTCAACAGGAAGTAGCAAAGAAGAAGCCCCATCGAAAGATAAATTTAGACTTGAAACACTTCAAGCACAATATGAGGAAGCTACAGAAAAGGTTAGGGTGTTGTTGATTTTTTAAATAATTTGTGGGGTTTAACGAAGGCATCTCCTTCAACGTCTGCAGTGGTTAAGTTCTTCATCCAAGCAAGGTTGTCCCTGTCAGAACCAGATGGTCTGCTCAAGCAGTACAGTGGTGATGGCAGTAGATTTGGTGCATCCTAGCAAAGCCCTATCTACTCTCCAGAGCTGCAATTGCTGCTCACAGCAGTGCAGAAGCAGCTGCCTCTTAAAGAGAAAGAGGACTATCACTATGGCTGCAGGTGCCTCCTGTCTGAAAAGGACTGTCTCCTGCTACCTGAAAGAGAAAAGGAAGTGGTACCCACCCATATCAAGGAAGAGTGATAGTGGGGTGTCTGAAACCTTAAAGGGCAGACGTGCTGTTGGTAGTGTGACACAGCTGCATGGTGCTGCCCCACACCTTCTTCCAGAGAAGATGAGGACAAGGGTAGCTTGGCTGCACTGAGGAAAGCTGGAGCTTTCCTACCAGCCTGCTATTGAGGGTCCTTGGGCTCAGGCCCTGCGGGAGGAGCATCTAGCGAAATCAGGAGGAACTTCTTTCTTCAAGTGGTGGAGGATGTTAAGCAGTCTTGGATCCAAGTCCTCAGGCTCCTGGAAATGGTGTACTCTTCATGCATGTACTGTGAAAACAGATCATATGGACAGAAGTTTACTTTTTCTTTGTTTTCCTCTTTTGATGATGGCCTCAGAGATGTGCTTTCCACCCATACTTATTTAGATAAGTGTACCATTGCATTTCCAAGTTTAGAATTTTGTTGGGGCTCATGGAACTCACTAAAAATGAATGTATTTTGTTCCCACTCTTTCAACTAAAGCAGGAAATGGAATAATCTGAGTTAGCCTTGCTGTTTTTTTCCCCCTTCTTTGAAGTTGAATGTGTAAATTATCTCAAAGAGTGTATTATTTAATTAAGGGATCCAAAGCTATATGACACAGTGATGATTACCTACCAAGATTATTTTGCTACTGGGACTGCTCCTTGTTTCACATGTGCTGGTGAATTTGATTTTGGACTCCTTTATGAAAGGACTACACAATGCTCGGATCTTTTGCAGAGCTGAGTCTTGATACTGGAATATAACTAGGAATTTAATCAGGGATTTGTTAATCGGGAGCTGTCTACTTCTCTGAATTATGTTGTTGCACTTAATGCTGGTATAATTATTAGATTTGATTTTGGCCTTTGAAATTGCTAAAAAATACATGCAAAGCATTGAAAAAATAGATTTAAAGCATGTAGGCAGTCTGTGAAAATTAGTTTTTGAATACTCCAGAAGACCTGAAGCCTTTTGGGAGAATACAGTTTTAGCCGCCCTTTAAGAGTTGAGCAGAGATGGAGCTAGTCTGACTTCTCTTGGGAAGGAATTGCAAAACAGAAGTACTGCTACGTCGGCCTGTCTAAGTAATAACATTTTTGGCTGCCAACTTCTTTGAAAGTGGCCAAAAATCAATGATTCAGATATTTACAGAAAGAAAACATTATTTATCATCAATTTGCCCCTCCTGGCAGACTGTTCCTTATAATGAAAGAAGATAAAAGAATGTAGTGGGGGAATCACAGATCTTGCACCATGCTGTCCTGGGTCCCTTGCTGATGTTGCTTTTTCCAAAATAAAATATCTCTTACATAACATTAGGCAAGGTGTTGAAGAACACCACGGCGTTCACATAATACATAGATGAGCTTCTCAGCAACCATTTTAAAGTGGAACCAGACACATTCCTGGAGCATAAAGCTATCAATGGCTACTACCCATGGTGGGTGCATGAATGCCAGCTGCTGGGGAACAAAAGCGGGAAAGGTTGTCCTCTGGTTGGCCTCTTTATGAAACAAAGAAGGCACTGGGCAAAAATAGATCAGTTCAGTCCTATACATGTTAACTCAAAAGTAAGGCCCCTTGAGTGTAGAGTAGATTGAAGCCTAGAACAGCAGGGATGGAAACAAGAAGGTTACTAAAGCTTATAAAAGAACTGGAGCACAAACTCTGTGCTTCAATTATTTTCTATGAATTTGCAGTTGAAGAAGATGCAGGATGAAGTCCTCATGAAAAATGGAGAAATCAAAATTCTACGGGATTCAATGCAGCAAATGGAATCTGCTCTGGAGGAACAGCGGAAAGCACGCATGCTTCTGGAAAACGAGAATGCTCAGAGTCTAAATGAAAAAGAAAAAGAGTTCTCAAGGAAGGTACTGTTTGTTTCGGTTTTAATAAAATCATCAAAACCCTATTGTTTGAAAAAGTACTTTGTTTTAAAATTCTTCTAAATCTATTGCTTCTTTTCCTTTTAGCAAACACTAACCATGTATTGAAAGCATATTTAGCTGCATTAAGGAGTTGTTAGATATTGTTGATTTCAATTTTTATATTTTTAATTGGAGTGAAAATTATTAATGACTTCTTAGGTATGGAGCAAACCTATTCCTTTCTGTTTCTTCTATTATTTTGTGTTTTTATTCAAAGCAATTTTTGAAAAAAGGAAAACACATCTAATGCAGTCTTAATCACAGCAAATAGAGAAGTAACAATGATGCTCCATAGTGCAGATTAAATAGCACACTTCTGAATTCCTGCAGGTGACTTACTTAAATGTAGATTCCCCCCTTTACCTTAAACTATTTCATTGGGTGAAATCCAGTAATTACTGACTGATTCAGTGGGCCTATTCTAGTTGGCAGTTACTGGATTTACTGAATAATGAAATCATTTAAAATAAAGAGAAAAAATAAGTTTGTTGACTCACCTTATTTCCACTGACTCAGTGGGCCTACTCTAGTTGTGACTAGAGTACTGTGACTACTGGATTTTAGCTTGTATCTTTCAAGGCAAATTCTCCTCCAGCTGATGTGATGGAAAGCATGGGGAAATTTATTTCTTGGAAGATAGCTCCCAGAATCCCCCACCCAGCATAGTCATGATTCACTGGCTTCTGGGGAGTTATAGCCCAGATAGGAACTGTTATAGGTTCTAGTCTGATGCTAATACAAAACAACCATAGTGGTTCATTTCATTAAGACTGTTGCAAAGAAAGTCTTGGGACTGTATTGTTAAACAAGCATCTGCATTTTCAAATTGAAGCTAACGATCTGTAGATTTTTTAAAATGTTTCATAGTATATATTTTCTATTTAGTCTTTGCTTTTGAACTGTCATTGCTTTTCTGAATACAGTAGTAAAAATGTGTTACAAGGATATTTAGAATTGCAATATATCTGCTTGGAAAACTTATGTCATTTGTCTGTTGCATCTCTGTATCATACAAATATCATGCCTGTTTTTGTCCAGCCACCACAACTAATAAGTAGCTAGCACAGTGATTTCGATGTAATTGGGAACTGTAAAATCAAATAAAGAAGCATGCTTTTTAATTTCGTGACATTGGATATTGTTTTATTTTTTTCATTCATATTCTAATATTAAACAATTTCTTTCAGTTACAGTCATTGCAGTCTGAGCTACAGTTCAAAGAGGCTGAAATGAATGAGCTGAGAACAAAGCTTCTGAACTTTGAAAAAATTAAACCAGTTAGCCCTTCAGTTTCAAATAACAGGTAAAAAGATTTTAAAAGCAGCTACTATACTAGTCCATGATGCTTCAGGCAACCGGATCGACCTTTAATTTGAGTGTCTGTCCTCTTGATACAGGTTAGGTCATAGTCTGATGGCCAAATTCCTATGCCTGGTATGAGGTGGCGGCCACACTAACCACACAGCTAGCTTAAAATGGAGAAGACAAAACTGGAAGTAGTCAGAAGTCCAGTTCTGTATTTCCGAAAATGTGGTTTTTCACTTTCAAAAACTGAATGGGCAGGCACACTTTGTTTAGAAAAAGCATTTTGGTCCTAGTATTATATGGTGTCAAGTCCATTCAGACCTACAACAACCCCAGTGGAGTTTCTGAGATACATGAGATATTTAAGGAGGAGTTTTACCAGGCTAGCTCAGCGTATTAGACGCAGATACATGAGATATTTAAGGAGGAGTTTTCCCAGGCTAGCTCAGCGGATTAGACGTCTGGCTGCTGAGCCAGAAGTTGAGAGTTCAATTCCTCCCCCTCCCCAGTGCCTTTTGGGAGAAGAGCCAGCCTGTGGAGCCTTGGGCAAATTGCACAGTTCCAGTCCAGCCTGTGGAGCCTTGGGCAAATTGCACCGCTTTGCTGTATTCTGTACAGTCAACCCTCGACTTATGAACATCCCTACATACTAACTTTTCGATTTACGAACGGCTGTTGGCAAAAATTGGCATCAACTTGTGAACGGAGCCTCGACTACGAACGAGATCGAGGCTCTGTTCGCAAGTCAATGCCATTTTTTTGCCAACGTAGCTGTTCGATCGCAAGTCAATGCCATTTTTTTGCCAACGCAGCTGTTCGTAAATAGCTCCCTGCAAAAAGACAGGGAATTTGAATTTCCACCCCTTTCCCCCTGCCTTTGTGCCTTTTGAAATGCTGCAACAGATTAATTCCGTCCCCATGCATTTCAGTGGGAAATGGTACTTTAACTTGGAACCTTTTGACATATGAACGTCGTTCCAAGCGTCCCCATGCATTTCAGTGGGAAATGGTATCTCAACTTAGGAATCTTTTGACATATGAACGTCGTTCTAAGATGGATTAAGTTCGTAAGGCGAGGTACTAATGTACCTAGAAAACCCTGGAAAGGGTTGCCATAAGTCAGAATCAGCTTGATGGCACATGACTGTTATTTTCCAGTGCCATCCCCCAGTAAGTTGCCATGGTTAAGCTGGGCTTTGAAAAGAGTTATTCTTGCATCCTAGTCCATCTTTTCTCGAGGCTTCCAAAACATTTTTTCAAGATGGTGAGGAAGTGTGAGAGTACAGCAGAATGTGTGAGTTAAAGAAACTGGGCCACATTATTCACATCCCTATTTTCATAGCTGGTTATAAGGCCTTGCATTACTGTTTCCTCTTGCAAGCTGTAGTGCGGATACGTTCACAAAAACATAGCACAGCTCTTCATAGATGAATCTCTTCTAATTTTCAGACCTCTGTAACAAATTAGATTTTTATTGCCCAATTTGCTGTTCCTTCAGTGAGAGAACATGTTAATATGTAACACAGTCTAGCAGTCTAGTTTCACTTGTTTTTTTTCGTTGAACCACTGCAATAGTGATATATGTTCACTCATTTGGTGGCACAGTCTACCAAAATAATTTGATTGGATTATGTTTTTGTGATGGAAACTGTTGAAGAAAAACTTGAAGAGAAATGCTTCTGCATGGCTAATTAAAGAATTTGATTTCATTTTCCAGTCCTCAGAAGAGTCCTCCAAAAACTCCAAAAGTTGAAGGATGTACCCAGAGTGAAAAAAACAGTTTTCCCACAAAAGGTTCTTTTCAGTCTCAGATACTACCTAAATCATCCAGCTCTAGAACAGCATTGCCTGGTGACGCTCTTTTGGTTAATAAGGGTAGGTTAATTTTTAGTCAGTCGTATTTGACCCTTCTACAGTGATGATACACTGATAAAACAGAAAAGTAAATATTGCTGGTGTTTGCATACACTATAATAGCCAGCTCTGGCATCCCGGTGTGGCATGATCAGGCAAGTGCTGGGCCCGGTGTCTCTGATGACACTGATGTCCATTGCTGCCTATTACCATATTTTTCCATGTATAAGACTACACCTTTGTCTAAAATCTTTAGACTAAAAATTGAGGGTCGTCTTATACACAGAAGTAAGCTGAGGAGAGAACAAAAACAAGTGGAGGGGAAAGCAGGGATCAAAGCGATTCTGCAGTGCTTTTATCCTTTTCCGCCTACACTTGCTAAGCCCCACTTAGATTTCTTAATTGTGGATTAGAAGAGTGGGGATGTCTTATACATGGGGGCGTCTTATACATGGAAAATGCGATAATTCTCTAGTCTGGTTGCAGCTGCCATCTCTGTTTTCTAAAGTGGAATACACTGGACGTTATACATGACATATTGTGGGTCTTTTAAAAATGGCTCTTGACTGTCACATTATATTTGGGGAAGAGAACAGGAGTGGCTTTGATTGTGGTAGGCAAGGGGACCACACCTACCCAGATTCCCAATTAGAAGGGGATAAAGTACAGCAGTGGCAGTAATGACTTATGAAACTGAACCCATTACTGAACATATGCTTTCTGAAAAGGAAGTTTCATTGAAACCAAATAGGTACACTTCTGGGGGGAAGAGTATGCTTATGGTCTAGTAGGGCAACCATTCTCAACGGGGGCCCTGGGCCCACTTGAAGGGGGGACGGACCTGGAAACAATTCTTCACACACCATCTTACAAGGGTCATTATGCAATGTATACAAACCTGATGTGTAAAAAAAAAAGAAAGAAAGACTGATAAAGCAAGCAATTCTTCACACACCATCTTATAAGGGTCATTTTGCAACGTATACAAACCTGATGTGTAAAAAAAGAAAGAAAGACTGATAAGGTCACCTTGAATGGGGCAGCTCAGGATTTCATGCTCCTGTGACATGTATGGGCATGTCTCGTTTAATATCAAGTCTGGCATCTGTATTAACTATGGTTTCCTTGGCATTATGCACTGCACTTTGGGCTTTGCTTGTGGTCTGAAGATATAAAATAAAAACAGTTTTCTTGGACAGATTTTTTTCTGTTAAGTTTGACCTGTTAGCCCTTGCAGAGATAGGTGGTTGGCCAATTTTAGTGATGTGTTCCTAGTGACAGATAGATCTTGATAGCTTCTTGAAGACATTGTCTTCTGTGGTTTTAGCTGGATATTTTTCTCAGACTAGGTCTCTTCTTGGGAGGGCAGAGTTATCCAGGCACATCCATACAGTCACTCCCAAGGGTATTTGACATGTTGTTAGAGTAACTCTTTCTGTAGGGGGTGTACACATGGTTCCAGGGGACTCCTCTTCTACTCCATCTCCTTCGAGGTGCCTAAGGGTTCCATCTAATTCCCTATTTATTTATTCTTTTTACATCTACATGAAATCGCAATAGATCAAGTTGTACAGCTGTTTAGACTAAAGTGTATGCAGGTGATACATAGCTCTATTCTTTTTCTTCCTCCAGTTGGTTTCAGTAAGGCTGTGGGAACTGTGACCACAGGCAGGTATCTGGAGCTATATTGGTTAGGGTGAGAGCAAACTAAAACCTTATCCAAATGAGATAGAAGGCCCATGGATGGTGAAACTTGGTCGAGCTGCATCTTTGTCTGGAGAAAGTAGGTCTGTGCTAAAGCTAGATTAGCATAATGCCCTCTGCAAAGATGGTTTAGAAGCTTCAACTGATGTAAAATGTAACCTACCTGGTTGCTCAGAGTGGATTTGATTTAAATTGTGGGTTTAAATACATTTGATTTATTTGAAAAAAATATCATTGATTTTTTTATCACAAATTGTGGGTTTAAATACATTTGATTTATCTGAAAAAAAATCATTGATTTTTTTTATCACCATATTGCTCATGAGACCAGATTATCTGATGGACTGTCTGTACCCACATGCACGTGCCTGGGTCCTCAGTCTGGATCTTAGGTGCTTAGCTTATGTGCCTACTGCTAAGATTGATCAGGATGAGCGTGCTTTTTGTGTGGTGGCAAGCGGTAGCATTATACTACAATGGGATGTATACATGGCATTCCTAGACTAAAGTTAAACAGAATTTAAAGATCCAGATAATTATGTCTGCTTTTAAAATGAATTGGCATGTTTCTTTGTTTCTGAAGTCTTGAGTTTTTCTGCTCCTAATATTTCAAATGTATTATGATGTTAGCATAGCAGTATAATGCAGACATTTGGTGAACAACAGCCAGTATTCTCCATTATTCATTGTATTTTTAAGTTCTGTTGTTTTAAAAAGAGTCCTGTAAACTATCTTGAGAAGTCTCTGTATTAGATGGTACTGTAGATAAATACTTTTAGCAGTTATCCCTTATGTGCTGGGATGAAAACCCCCAGTATTGGGTGAATTCTGGAATATTTTCTTGATCCAGTGTATAAAATGTTCTCTGTCCAAATATATGTTTATGTATATAAAATCATGTGTATTCTACAGTATTGAAACACCCAGAGTAGGAAAACCTATTATTATATGATGTCAAAATATGTGTTGAGTAGCCTTCTTATGTAAACTATTTAACCATCAATACTACTTTTATATAACCAGTGTGCTGTCGTGGATAGAGTGAGTGACAAACTAGGATTCAGGAGGCTTGAGTTCAAATTCTTGCTCAGCCATGAAAACTCAGTGGGGCTGTGGAACTGGTTATGGCCGCTCCTTAAATCTCTCTCTTAATTCGAAAGCCCTATTAGAGTCACTGTAAGTCAGTTCTGACTTGATGGCATAACAGCTGCATAGCTACTTGTATCCAATCTGAAACATGAGAATTTAACTTTGATTTGAAACAAAGAAATTAGGAAAATGTCATAAACCACGAAGGAAAACAGGTATTTTTATTTATTTTCCAGATTGCAAAATGCCAGACCTTGAAACTGAGCCTCTGAAGCCAGAAATGCGCTACATCTGTGTTCAAAGGCCAGGTAATTCCAGCTATGAAATCATCATCATTTTAGAAAGGAAGAGTTGTAAAGGGCCCTATGGATCATTGAGTCCATCCCTTGTAGTGGTATTCAGTATCAGTATTAAAATTAGAATATTCATTGGGAAGCATAAAATGTGTCACACTAAAACAAACAAGGGCTTGTGGTATCTATTTTTCTTTGTCTTTGAACATCCACAAATCAGAACATGGCATAAAATCTGGTGTATACTCAGAATTAAAGAATTGTGAACTTACTTTATTTATCAGTAGTGAACAAAGCTTACAGTCTGTCCATGTAAAAATTATTCCTGCTTACCCTAAACTTTCTCAATTTCAGCAACATAATTTAGGGTGTGGTAGAAGTAGGATCCATTTTGTTGGTGGTGTTTTTGAGCAATTGGAAGGTAGATCCTGCTAGTCTATTGCAAATAATACAATAATTGATTGTTGTTGTGGGTTTTTCGGGCTCTTGGGCTGTGTTCTGAAAGTTGTTCTTCCTGACGTTTCACCAGTCTCTGTCCATGCTCTGTTGCTGTTTGTTGGATAGCTGAGTATTTATAGCTATAGGAAGAGCTTTTGTCCTTTTCAGGAGATAGGGTGATAGGCTGTTTTTGTTGTGATAAGGGGGAGAGATTATCTGTCACTGTGATTGATGAGTGTTGTTAGCTGGTCTTTTTTGTGCAATGATCCCTGGTCCTTGTGGCTGGGTAGAGTTCGTTAACCTTTTTGCGGGCTGTATTATTCAATATTGGGAGCCAGGCCATGTTTAGTTTTAGGCCTTCTTCCTTTTTGTTGAAGTTCCGTTGGTGTTTATGGATTTCAATGGCTTCCCTGTGCAGTCTGACATAATGATTGCTGGTGTCGTCCAGTACTTCAGTATTTTGAAATAGAATTTCATGTCCAGCTTGTTTTAGGGTATGTTCAGCTACTGCTGATTTTTCCGGTTGTTTTAGTCTGCAGTGTCTCTCATGTGCTTGCTGCGTTTTGTGGTTCCAGTATATACCTGTCCACAACTGCAAAGTATCCGGTATACTCCTCCTGTAGTAGTGAGCGGATCCCTTTTGTCCTTTGCTGACTGTAACATTTGTTGTATTTTTGTGGTGGGCTTGAATACTGTTTGTAGGTTGTGTTTTTTCAAAAGTTTCCCCATACGGTCTGTGACCCTTTTGATGTATGGCAGAAATCCTTTATC